GCATCTCTCTAGAGGCTGCAGATCCTGCAGTCCTTCCATTAAGGGTATCATTCTTGTCTTAGGCTGTGAAAGATGTATCTCTTTTCCATCAGGGAGGTTTCAGCTGATGGCTACTTAGATGTGCATTTATCCTGCCTTACACAATTATTGGCCTGGTCCTAGCCTCTTATTCCAACTCTTAGCTGAAGTTAATGACTATGTCAGTGACTCCTAATAATTTCAGTAGTGAGCACAGATCCTTGCAGGTCTTAAATCCATAATTAGTTCAGATACATTGCTTCACGTTGGCCTGAACCCCAACCATGACCTTAAATTCCCCAATGACAGCCTCAGAAGTATGATTGACAATGTGATCTCCATCACTGAAACCCTCAAATAAGTCTCGCTCGTTTCCTCTAGACCTGGGTTTAACTTAAATGGCTCATCCTCTTTCATTTTCAAATGTAAATTTCAAATCAATGTTAAGGCTACTTTTAAGACTAGACTTTAAAGGAATCATAACTAGATCACCTGGTCCAGCAGTAGGTTTCATATAAACTCAACAACCCCTGCTAAATGAAGAAACAACCCACTTTTACCCGTTCCTGGCCAAGTAAATCTTAATTTTAATTCTGACTGTAATATTAATCTACATTTGCCTCCCTATATTCTGTCATATCTAGAACTAAGCATAGTTTTGGGGTCCCTCTAAATGGTGGCATTAGGCTGAGCTTGGTGGCCACTTCTATATCCAACACTGATTCGGGGTCTCAGCTTCATCTCGACCCAACCCCTGAAGTTAACCCTAATGCCAAAGCTAACGCTAAGTTAAGTTCCACCCTGAGCGCATCAATAAGAAAAAAGAAGCAGACTTTCCTGAATTAACAAAGTTAATTATGCGGGTTAATTATGTATGGCATGTGAAGTTATTGCGCAGGCTCATCCAACGTAGTAGTCTGAATCCAAGTCCATAAACCCAGCTATAGCTATTCCCAAATCCTACAGAGCTCATCATAAAAACTAGACCTGGGACCTGTTTCAGACAGGCAATTTAGCAGAGCTTTACAGACCCTGGTTTGCAACAGTCATAAGGCCCATACTGACCTACCCATCCTTGCCCAGTCTCCATCCCCAAGGCCAATATAAAATTTAATCCAATTCCTAAAGGTAGATTAGTGATTCCAATTAAACGGTATCCCAAAAGTATTCATGCAAAAGGCTCTTACTTACAACCTGGGGCATATCAGCCCTAAAATGAGCTATCTCTTCCCAGTTCTCAAAGCCAGGTAAGGCCTCCTGTGTTCCCTAGATCGAATCACTAGCAGGCAGCCTCAACTTAAGCTTTGCTTCTATTGTAGCACAGCAGTACTGGCTGCTGTGGGACGTCTGGCATGGAGCGGTACACCTTCCTCCAGAGGCATGGCACCAACGACCTGCATTGTTACTCTCTTCTTTCCACAGATTCTTGCATTTCTCTGCCTGATCTTTGGTTCTGTTCCTCGCAGACTTCGTTGCTTTAGTGTCAGATATCTGCTTTTCCAAGAGCGATAACATCTCCACAGGTTTTCTTTAAGTTCTCTGAGCGTGGCGGTGCGCTGTCATGGCTTCTCCTCCGCACCACTCGCTCCACAGGCCTAAAGTCCACTCGGTTCTGATCCCCCGTTGAGGGAAACACCACGCTGTTGCATCGTAGAAAGCATCTGTTCCTATTCCAGCCTAACTGCGATCTTCTAAAGACTGCCTTAAATATAAGGTTCTGCTCAACAGCTCATCTCCACCCGCTGCACCGCAGGCTCCCTTCCCCTCCGTGACCGCTCATCTCGCATGTGCTGGATGGAGATCGCTGCCAGGATGCTCGCCCCACCAGGAAGATGCATCTGGCACGTGGGATGACAGTACGATACACAGGTTGGCTTTTCACAAGTAATTTCACTGGGTTTTCATTACACACGTAAAGGTAAAGGCATACTTTTTTTTTTTTTTTGTTTTGTTTTGTTTTGCTAATTTTGAGTCTGGAGCAAAATTTCCATGGTCTTAATTGCCTTCAGAGTTGAAGAATTGCACTTCTCTTTCAGCGCAAATTTTGTGCTGCTGGGCACGGTCTCATGGCACACAAGACAATCGGTTCTTCTCCAATATTGCTTCATCTTGATTGATATAATTTGTATTAGAATCAGTTTTACTTTTGAAGTGGAAGCAGGTTTGACCTGCTCATCCATCTCTTTTGCCTTTTCTATCGCCAGTTCAAATTCACGGATATTGGCAAACAGATCAAAAGGATGTCATTTTTCATCTTTCCTTCTCAGAAAAAAAATGCTTGTTTTTTTTTTTTTTTTTAACTCCTTTACACAATATTCATTTGACACTGATTGTACTCAATATATACAATTTTTCATTACAGATTTTCTGGTATGTATATATTAAAACCAACATATTACTGCTTCAATAAAAATGCAACTGGACTGAATAATACAAGACAACCAAGTGGTGACTCCATTGATTCTTCATATTATTTACTGTCATGCTGCTATACTACCAAATGTAAAAATATTCCTGTGGGATATCCACAAAAGCTATGAATGATTTCATTTCCCACAGACAGGACTTGCCGAATTCACCGAACTACGTACTTGACTGAACTAATGGATCATAAAAAGGAAATTTCTCATTTGTTTTTGCTAGTCACAATTATTATGGGTTTGTTTTGTTCTGCAATGCTATGACAGATTTCTCTTAACTGGCTATTTGAATATTAGAAATTTTTTTACTCCTATTTGCTGTCGATAATGAACTGCAATCTACAAGAGCGTGGTCCCCCATGCTACTCTGTGCTTTGCAGCCATCACAAGAATCTGCACATTGAATGATAGTTTCTTATCTCAGATAAAGTGCAAATGAAGTAATTTATGAAACACCTTCCCCCCCCCCAAAAAAAAAAAACAAACCAAACCAAACCAAAACACAATGAAAAACGGCCCACGTGAAAAAAAATAAAATTACTGGAAATGATGCCTGTAAATGGCATATGAGTCACTATGTATCACAAACTGTTTTTCATGTATGGCCTGATGGACTAAGACCCTGTCTGCTAGTGGCTGCATACTTCCTCTACATATTATGCTCACATAAATTCAACAATCTGAAAGTTTCCAACTTAATTATTTATGCTGTGCCGTTTATCAGCAGAGGGAGCCAAGCGCTTCAGGCCAGTGACATATCCCTTCCCATAGCGATGCATTTCTTACCTTTATACTCCCCTTCTCCATCTTCTCTCACTTGGAATGGGAGGGATCTCTCTCTCTTTTCACTGACTATAGGGGTGACCTGCTTAGATAGGGAACCTGACTTTTATAGGACTAATTTTAGGGGAAAACATACCCTGTTCTGAATACTCATGAAGAACTCTTTGGCAGCACGTACTTCACTTGCTGTAAAGCCTTGCCCCCAAAAATATTTGTTTGAACAGGCTGCATTACTGCTACACGTCATAGGGAATTTTTATTGAAACCAAAACTTTCTTGTATCTTTACACGTTTGGTCACAGAGTGAGATTTCACCATAAATTAGGAAGCAACTGCCCAGAAGTCTTCTACATCTCAGTTACGGAACTATGGTGTCTCATTTCTACATGAAATACTTCATATCAGGAATTAGTCATGAGCTAGCCCAGCCAATGCTCCTGATTACTTTTGTGCTGCAGTCAGACTTCGCATGATGGAAAACACTAAAGGAAATCATACAGGATTAGGAACAAAAACTTCATCACAATCATCCGTTCTCTTCCACCAAAAATACCCTGGTATTTAATTCCCCAATATCCGGCATATATTCAATAGACTGAAGGGAAATACGGACATCGAAGAACCTCAAAAGACTGGATTGAAATCCAAATCTGAATCTGACGTTGGGACAATCAGATTATAAAATAACACCTGCTATTTCACGGATGTGTAGAAGGAAGTTTATTTTGTAAGTGTGTTCTCTTCCCTGCCCTCTTTAATACCACTAGTGAATATTCTTCACCTGACTTCTCCAGAAAGGTACATAAATGCATGTTTGTATACAAAGTATCATGGCACTTGTAAAATATTTTTTATTCAAATAGCTGCTCTGGAGGGTTGCAATATTTTTAAATCATCTTTACTAGGTTTGGTCTCGGTATACCCAGCTGCCCAAACCCCATGAAAGCTGATGGACATCTTTTTGTGGATTTGCACCGGTAGGAATTTTGGGCTCAGACCACAAGTAATTTTGAAATCCCATGAGGTTTTGTGGCATAGTTTAATTTGTTTCAGCTATCCAGCTACAGTAGCAGGCTCCTGCCATTAGTTAGCTTATGATATTTGCATGTTTTGTTTGGTTTATTTTAAGAGAAAGTTTATTTTAAAAGAAAAAAAATTCCCCACAATATGTTTTATTTATTTCCTGAGGAGTTTCACTTGCACAAGTAGGCACTAAACATTTGAAATTGACTTTCCAGAGCACAACAGTAAAAAACTTAAGAATTTGGTTTAGTTTCATTTAAAACAGTAAAAATTGACCTTGTAAACATTTCCATAGGAGGTGGGATACATACATTTGACAATCTGTCAAATAAGAGAAAGTAAACAGTTACTCTGTGGTCCTAATAAATAATGAGCAACACAGGCATTAAATAAACATTTTTATACAAAAAGATATCAGTGAAAGACTAAAATAGCATTTTTAATAAATTAGGAATAGATGTAATAATTTCTTTACAACTTATTCTTGTTTGCAGGAGTCACTGGCTCTTTCTGCTCACCCTGAATTTCTGACTGAAAAGTTGTAATGGCGAGAACAATCCTGAATGATTCACAAACAGGACCCAATCTGAATATAGCTACTTTTTTTTTTTTTTTTTTTTTTTTTTTTTTTTTTTTTTTTTTTCCCCGTGGAGGACACTAATGTCTCTAAAATGGCTCCTTTAACACCTATATGTAATACTTTTCTATTCCACCAGCTGAAGGGGATTGTCATCATAGCCTTAATGTCTGGCTTTGGAAAGCAAGCTTAAGGCACAGACATGTCTCTCCCAGTTAGGTCCCTCCAGCAGCTGCTCCCATGAAAACAGTGTTGATTGGTGGTAAAGATGACACCATATCTCTGCTTGGGGGGCCGTGGGACTCCAGATTTTCCTGAGAAGGGAACTGACCAGATGTTCCATACATACACTGGGAAGATGATGTAGTTTGCATGTTTGAAGCTGTGGGAAAGAAAAGTTACCATCATTCCAAGCTTTCTATCTATTGAATATAACAAAAAGCACAATCCAATTTCATCTGATGGAAACCCTTACCTACCAGGCACACCACACGAAGAATGGAAATGTTAATATTTTTGTACTCCATTCCATTTACCTATACTTCTACAGCTCTTCTTCAGTGGTTCCTCATGCCATCAAGGAATAGGTTAAAACCCACGTATAAGTGAACTCTGCTAAAAATCCAGCTGTGTGCCTGAAGTTTATGGCTTGCATATGAGAACTGTGCCAAGCTATTTATGTGCACTATGCTCGTCTTTCCGTATCTTGCACCATGCAGGTCCACAGCCACCGGTGGTGCCACTGCCACCACCTGGCACCTACCAACACAGACTACAGAAGATACTCAATGGGCCCCTGTGTGCTGGTGCTGGGGTGGTTTTTTTCCTTTCTTTAGCATCCTTTAAAGAACTAAGCACTGGATTCTTCCAGAGCCTTAACGGGGCAAGTAACGTCTGATCCTCTGTGCAAGGTTAACAGGTAAGAAGTGGGAAGAGATAATCTGGTGGAGAAACAAACGGTGCCCTACTTTATATCATCCAGGCAACTCTTTTTGGAATGTGACACCAAACTCAGCTGTCATTTGTTTAATGCATATACCAAAACAAACCCTTTGGGGTTAAGGAATTTCACCTAAAATTCACTGTCAGCGGGAGCTCTGCCTAATACACACAGTTGTTGAAGCATAGGGCGGGAAAGGACTATACCACGGGAAGTATAGATCTAGACATCCCTGACTTCATTTGATCTGTTTGACAGTGAGGATCCTTAAGAGACCTTAGAAAAGCCCAGTCCATTATTAGCTCATTTAATAGTTAGAAAGTGTCTCCCAATATGGATTTTTCTGCAATTCAGGCCAGTCATTCCACTCCTCACGGACAGTGGATCGCAGTCCGCCTTATGGGAGCGAAGAATTATTAAACCCACCCTCCTGGAATCTTAAGGAAAACACATCTTCTCATACATCTGAGCTATTTTATCTGTATATTGCATCTCATATACTATATATGTGAGATACAGTTTAATAGCCAGCCCTTGTTAGGATGCTAAAAAGTTCATAGCTCTTCCTCAGTCGTTGGCTATACTTACGCATAGGCGTCCGACAGACGATTGAAGGAGATGACTCTGTGTAGTAGGGGCCCGTTTGTTTTCTTCCGCCGTCATCCAAGATATTCAGTGGATCATGTATATCATTGTACGATGGCAACGATCGAATGCTGCTTACGCTGCTGATTACAGAAACATGTTGATCCACCATTGTCCCAAGTCTGTGAGATTCTGGATAATTTACATTGTTTCCATAGTATCCTATTGACAGGAGATTGGAAAAAAAGCAGAGTGAAACCACTGGGGAGGGGAAAGGGTAGGGTAGGAGCCTGTGATCACCTGGGACAAAAGGTGATTGTTGCCAGCTCAGTCCCTTGAGAAGAAGATTATTTATGTGCACATACAGCCCAGTAACATATGCAGTGATTGACCCAAAAGAGGGGTGATGACAAGTGAGAAAAAAAGATCCTAAGTGTTCAGTCATGCCTTCGGTACAGAATTGCCCTTCCATTCTGAGTTCAGAATCAAACAGCTGCCTGCAATCAGTGGCCATAAGAGACACCCTGGGAAATCCTATCCACAGTTCTGAAGCTCACAATCAAGGCAAGTACACACGGAAAGAAAATCTGCATGGTGATATATACTTACTGCACATACAAATCCATATAAAAGCAACATTTTCACCGTGTCTTTCTTCCAAGAAGAGGGAGGTGGTTTTGCCGATTGTATTTCTGAAGCAGATTGTGGCAATAACTTAACATTTTAAGTATGAGAAATATCAGGGCCAAAGTCTCAACTAATGCTAATGAGCATTTTTAAGCTTCGTTTCACCATCCTGACACTGTGACTAGAATGGTCCATTGTGCTGCTCCCAGAGGTAAGCTATCTTATGCCTGCTCTATTTCATAGCAGCTATTTTGGGGGCTTTTCAATAGATTGTTAGATCACAGGGTCATCCTGCTCTTCCTACCTTTGTGCATGACGTGGCGATGGTGCCAAAGGAAGATTAGCATAGGTACAGCAGATGCATTTGAGGTCAACTGAGGATTCACCAGAGGAAAATAAATCCTCCAGTAGCTTGTTAAGCTGCTTTACAATCTCTAAGTGTGTCATTAGAGAAGTGGAAAACAGGAAGGTATAAATAGGAGTTGAAAAATGTCTTCCAGAATAAAAATCAGAGAAAAAGTGGTTTACTCCAGCAAGAGAAGAGAAACAGAAGGGAAAAAAGAAAATATATATTAATACCATTGGAAGCATTAGCGGGATATGCTGCTCCTGGGCACGTAGACACTGAGTTGCTCAAGAAATTGAAACTCCCAGTATTCAGAAACTGCATATTCTGTGTGTCCTGAGACATAGATGAGGGACCATAGCTGGAAGGGGACCTGGCATTGTATGGAGACACAGCACAGCTGTTGCTGAAGTAGTCTCTGGAGAACTGCTGCTCACTCAAGGCATTGAATCGGCTGTGCTCTGCTCTGTGGTGGTAACCTCCTGAAGTGGAATGGGCCTGAGTTCTGAACACAGCCTGGTAATTGGAATTGTTTCCATAGTAATTCTGATTAGTTTGTGACAAAGTCTGATAAAGGGGTTCTGAGTAGGAAGAGCACTGCGAATGTGTGGATAACACTGGACCTACACTTGGAGGTCTCACAGCCATTGGCCCCTGGTTGATAACGCTTCCTCGGCTAATCATGGCTGGTGAAATGGGTGGAGTCATCAGGTGACCAGTGCTTTGGGACAGCTCCATCTGACCTGGAATAAATAAGCATTAGCCGTGATTAACGTTCAGACCGCAGTACTGCTGAACAGAGTCGACCCGTTAAGAAACTAACCCTCTAGGGAAGCGTACTTTACTGTGTGAAACCTTTACAAAGGATATGCATTGGCCCCCACCTATACAACACAAGTTCTTTAATCCATGGCTTCAGGCTATAAAGCTTCCCACTTTCCTTCTCCAGCCCGGAGGGAAATCCCTGCAGCTACGAGCCTTGTGTTCCAGGTTACTGTTCATTCTCTCCTCACAAGAACCTCACCAAGACAAGAGGAAGAGGATAGTTTTACCACTGTTCTAAGAGGATCTATTACTGGCAGGGCTCTACAATCTCTGCCTTCTGTAAATCAGCACAGAGGGTGAGCTCATGAAACGTTATTTACTAGAGGTCTTCATAAACGCGTCTGGTCATTGCTCCTCCCACAGCACCGCGTTACTGTGGGCTGAAGGACTAACAAGCAAATAAGAGAAGGTGAAGCTAGAAAAACTGATACATACCTGTCAGCTGCATATTCTCATTGTCTCCTGTGGCGAAGGGGTTCAGACCAGAAGGTACACTGCTAGGCTGGCTAGCTGACAAGGACACGTAGGTTTGCTCTGTTAGACACTCATTTTTGACGGAAGCGTCGCTGGGCAGAGAAGCAGCTTTGTTACGGTTTGCTAGGAAGCAAGAGCTTGGTGACGCGGTAAAGGTGGCTTTGCTTGCATCTGGAAGAGCAAGTGAAAACTCTCAGTGGCTGTTACGTATGCTTTTTGCACATAAATTCACCTGTAGTATATAGGTAACACGAGCTGCCTGATTTGTTCGTATCTTTGGTTGCTTACTCTAAACCCCAGTGAAGCCGCCGTATTTTGCATGTAGCCATTGAATACAAATCCTGCTCTAGTCTTGATCTTCCCAGTGGAACTGCTTGTATCATATTCCCTGGCCACAGTTTACATCTCAGAGTATCAGCTCCTTACTGAAGCCATCATACTGAAGGTACAAATCAGATTTATCCCTTTGAAGTAAATATCAGCAATTAAGCCAAGTAAATTGAATTGAGTGAATCAGGCTCACGACACTTCATCTTGAAGAATTAACAATGGGAATTTTAGAATGCTTGAACTCTATTTTCATACTGATATCTAGAGAAAAGCATTTTTTACAGTCAGTAGTTCCTCGGTTTTCTGCAGACTATTGATAAAGTCAGTGGAAGTTCTGCTGTTCTTCAGTGGAAACCATGACTTTACCATATGGTTTCAAGTATGTCACCTAAGTATCCAAGGATAAGGCAGCTACTACAGAGGACAAGGTTTTTTTTTTTTCCTGAAGGCTGAATTAAAAGAAAAAGCACAGCATCTACTGTCAGACAATTATATGCAAGTTTCTTGCAGAAAAGTGCAGATTTAGAATAACAACAACCAAAAAGTTAAAGATTGATTGCTGGTGCTAATGTTAATAAAAAATAATTCAGCAGAACCCAGTTGAGTTTCACTGGATTTTTAGGGATTAACTTGGACTAGAATTTGATCCAAATCAACCTTCATTAATTTTACAACAAAGGACCCGGAGCATATGTCTTCAAACTCTCTAACTTTGAAGAAGCCCGGTAGATGGAAAATGCTGAGGATACTGTTTTAAATTAATTTTGTTTCTCTTCCACATAGTAATACCTCAGCCAGATGCTAAATAGGGCTCCATACTTGCGTTCCAACCTTGCAGGGATGTTTTGCATTCTGCTAACATTTAATACATCCCTAGTTCAAGGTGTAATTACATACTCAAGCTTTGGCAGGAAAACTGGATTAGGAATTCCTGCCCTTTCTGCTACTTATACCACTTCCCACACTTCAGCTCGTGGCCCTTCAGATGTACCTTACAAGTGTTTGTTGCATCCCAGATCATTTCAGTGATCCAGTATATTCACATTCCCACAAAATGTTATTAAGTGAACTACGGTAAGAAGGTGAGAATGCATTGCTGAGTGAATGGTCACAAGTTTTTCAGATTAATTTGACAATGTTGCATATAACTACACCCTTAGGAGAAGACAGTAAGCCTGTTTCAGTTTAAAGTTAAGCAAATATGTCCATTTCTGAAAATACGGCAGTACATTCTAAAGACTCAAGCTCTAGTTACCTAAATTCTTCATGTATTTGTCCAGTAGATTCTGGAGTTCTTGTTCTTTGTCATTGTTGAACTGTGTCTCCATGGCAAGCAGGATGTACTCATCTAGTAGCATGCGGATCAAATGAAAAGAACCTTTTGGAGGAGAAAGAGAGAGAGTAGCTGAGTTATCTTTGTGACCATCTCTCACCACTCTAGGAGAAGCGAGTGAAACAAACAAATAATTGTGGACTTTAAATGACCTGGCAAGACCAACAAGGAATAGTGCCTAACTTCTAGCTCTAATCTCTCTTTGCACTGGCCCACCTAGCTCAATTGTTTACTGTCCTGTGGGCTATTTGACCACTAATTACATCAAAGAAAAATACTGATGAAAGTGAGACATGCTTTATACTTGAAGAGGGCACACAGTGGAGCTAGATAAGGCTGAAGTCTGCTAGAATGCCTCTGCTCTATTTCTGTTTGCCTTGTGCTAAATAACCAGACAATAACTGGTGAAGTCTTTGACCTTATTTCAAGGATATATCACATTAAAAACATGTCTCTCCTTACAGACATTTCAAATATCCTCTGAATTTTAGATAACAGTGATCCTACAACTAAACTTAGGAAATGATGTACTAGATTTAAAGTGAGTTTCACTTGCTCTACCATCTTCTATTTTATAAAAGGTTCTTTCTGAGAGTCCCCAAAAATGTAAACATTTCTAAAGATGGACATGTGAACCTTGATTTTTAAAAGCCACAAACACTGATGAATTGGCTGTATGCTGATCCCAGAACTAAATGAGTGGTGACCTGCTAAATTCTTTCTGCTTTTACGAAAACATACCGTGCACAAGAACTTCTATACAGCAGTAATGTTTTACCAAACTGATCCACATATACTGTCCCCTATACTGAGATATGCAGTTACACTTTCATCGCCATATCAAAACAAACAGAGCTTCTGGCTCCTAAATGGCAAAGCAGTATCAAAGTTCAATTCAAAAGAAAAATGCCTATTAAAAATGAACATGTGTCACAGGTCACCAACAAAATATTGCTAGCATTCACTGTGAAATGTTAGTTTGAAAAACACACTACACAGCATTTGTGGCTTAGATCAAAGAATCTTTAAACTAGGACAGGTTACTCTGCTCAGGAAATGGTGGAAAGCTGGTGAGTGCTAGCACATGTGTACAAAATATGAGTGTTTTTACAAAGCCCAGGTACCAAAACTCGATGCGTTGTTTAGAGTTAGGTTATGCATCACTCGAGCACCAAAAAAACTCCATTTGAGAAGGAATTCTTGAGCTCTCTTCTTTAATGACCTCCCATTTTGCTTGCTTGCCTGAAAGAGAATAGTAAAATACTATTAAGTATGCTGACTTGCCTTTTGGACACAGGAGAGAAGAAAGAAGAACTGAATATGCTTGAGAGTTCAAGGGATCCTTGACTCAGGCTGACGTGGCAGGGTGGATCAAGCTGCCTGATTCAAGCTATCTTCATAATGTGTGTCCTAAAGTGATAAAGAAGAGCAGCATTCACTCTTTTCAGTGCAACCAGAGTAGAGCTCTGACAGTGTTAGATGAAGCAAACTGCTTACTGCTTGGGTTCTGTTGTGCCCTGAAGGTATATAAATTGCCTCTTTTTTTTTGTATTAAAGGTGCCAAATTGTTCTGTAAATATGCAGGTGTATAGGGCAGAAAGAAAGAATAAAAACCCCACCCCCTGGCACTGTGTTATTCCACATAAACAGGGAACAGAAATTAGTCTTTGCACTTTAATGAATCTGTAAAATACTGGCCAGACTTTCTCTTACAAAATGGCATGTTTACTGTCAAAACACCGATGCTTGTTAGGCCGCCTATTTCATACTGTCGCTTTGCTCTGGCAGTGGTTTGCTCGTGTGGTAACGTATGCCCTGTTGCTTTTTCAGACAGAAAGCAGAGAAGCTGTTGTGTGAGTTTGACAGTAACCACACTTTAGCATGAACAGAAGGCAGACAGCAATGGATGGATTACATGTTCTGTAAATTATTAGCTTCTGCTTAGTTGACCTAGCCTCATATCAGGACTTGTTGGTATTTCTTACCCTTAACTACAGGAAAACAATGATAGGAACCATACCTGTTAACTTTAATAATACAGCATCACATAGTAGATGCTGAATGGGAGAGTACTTCACCTTTTCTGCCTGGCTTGTTTATCGGGAGTTGTCTTCTGAAACTGTGGAATCAATTTTAGACCATAATAATTCGGTTCTAAAATAAGCTGTGATTGCTCAGCTTCAGTGGGAGTTTTGTGCCTCCGTAAGTGTGTGTGAGGACTTGCCTTGGCTCTGCTGCTCCGAATCATCCAAAGCTCCTCACTGCACTGCTCACATATGACAGCAAACATTAGGAAATTCAAAGTGCTTTAAGAATAAAGAAATTATCACTGTCTCCATTGAAATTTGGGAAAACAGGTGAAGAAAGGAAAAATGACATGCCCATGGTTATTCTGTAAGTGGCAGAGTCACTCTTCTGCAAGCCAGTCAAAGCTAACTGCACTGTCTCCTCCTCTTGCATCCATTCATATCAAGATGCTCCCTAAAATGATGGATAAGATACTGCATTTCCAGGTAGAGAAGACCCAAAGAGAAGACCAGTTTTCAGCTACTAGTGAGCAATGTGTAACATTTTATTCTGCTACTTTACACTCATTGGAGTCACAAATTGGGTAAATATCTCTTACTTGAGCTATAACTCAGAACTCAATTATTTTTTTTCCAAGCTATAGTGTAATCATTCCTGTATAACTACATGCATATAAAATACTTGTGATTATAAATCTTCTTGTAAATCGGGGGTGGGGGGAAATGTCCAATCAAAAGCATCAATTACTGTGGTAAGCACCTTATAAAGCTACAAAACTGGCCTGCAGAAATCCTTCTACAGCTTAGTTGCTTCTGAATCCATCTGCTACATTAACTTATACCACATACGTTGCCATCTGAATACCATGAAAGAAATAATTGCTTCTCTAAGGAACAGCCTTTGCTCACCTTACCGAGCAGTACCCCTGTGATTCTGCAGGCACAGATAAGGTGGATGGGTTTCTTTCACGTACTGTTTATGAAAGTGCTGACTTGCAGGTTTTAGTCAAGATACTTCTCAGTTTGTCACACACATAAGACTGTTCACCGGCATTTAACATGATGAATTAGAACTAACAGCACTGGAACCTTTCACACCAAATAAAGAACTCCTCTGTTACAATAAGGAGATGGGAGAAGAGTTGAGAATCCCATGTGGGAAACCGTTGGGACTGCATGAGTAAGGGCCTGTGTAAGTAGGAAGGGGAGCAGGATTTGGTCTTGAGTCAGGCAGAACATTTGAAAGGTACCTTGATTACCCTTTGCTCAACCACAGTATCCAACCATTCAATAAATGATTCCACAGTGGCATTCTTCTTTAGCAGGTCCTTCAGTTCTTGGAACACTGTAACAGAGTCATCTACCATGTAAAAAGGAAAACATATCATTGCACACTATTTGGAACATGAGAAAAAGCCACTCACCGGCCATATGACAATATTGTAGCATGGAAAGGAAGAGCAAAGAATTAGAGCAGTGAAGAAATAAGCAATTCTTCAGCAAAGCAAGCAGACACACATCCATTACACGTATATATTTTAATTACTCTAAGCATTACAGTGATAGAAGCTGTAAGGCAATGAAGTTTTATAAGAAAAGAAAAGCAAAAAAAAATGTATATTTTCCATTCCTGTTAAGATTCAGACTTGAAAACCTTTCTATTACTAAGTTTGGTAGTAAAGCTTTATCTGTAAAGTGGCAGATTTGCATATTGTCTTAGGTTTCCCTTATATTTTACAAGTTTCTCACAATATAATGTAAAGCTAACTTCCTCAATTCTCATTTTCAAAAAAGTGCCTGAATGACCATTTCTCTTTTCCTTTTTTTAACCACTGTGAAAGATGACAAAGAACAAAATATAAAACAATTACACAAAAAGTATGAAATGGGCAACGCAAAGGAAAATGTGAATAGGATTGTAAACCACTAAAAAGAACAGACTTTCATGATCAAAATAACAATATTTAGAGTACACACTGCTATTCCTTTCAGCTCTCCAAACTCTGATCAACGTGATTCCTATGACAGAAGCTGTCTTTTTCATAGAGAAAATGGCTATATCTTTTTTCAACAACAGGTATGTATATGAAAATTCACACCCTCAAAATTTGTGCTTTGTTCCACACTGTGGATGAAAATAGCCGTTACACTTTATAGAAAATTATGGGGTTTTGTAAAGATTAACTTTCAGAAAAAAAAAATCTATTCATCACCAAAAAAAAAAAAAGTAAACTAGCTCAAAAATCCATTAAATTAAGCCATAATGATATGGAATTCTGGAGACATTTTTAAAGAATTGATCTGTGCTAATATCCCCATATGATTAGGACAACACTTTAAAAGAGAATTTATTACACATAGAAACTGATACGTAAATGACTTTTTCATCAACCATTTAAAGTCATTTAGCTGGGATGACTTCACAGCGCAAGATTCTGTTCTTGTAAGACATGCTATGGTAGCCAGTTGGTTTTCTTAAGCTACTGAAGTTAACACTGAGCTAAATTAGAGAATGCAGTGACCATATGTGCCTTTTCTCAGTCCTTCTCCAAGGAGACTAGTGTGGCATGGCATGAAAGAGTAAATTACTTTTAATAATACAAATATATCACCATGGACTTACATTCACTGTAGGCATCCCCATCAGAGTCTGTGCTCCCGGAGGCTGCAAGGAGTGCCTGAGAGCCAATACTATTCAAATCAACTTTTTCAATATCCGACACCATGGAATTCACCACATGCTGATCAAAAAGAGCTGGCCGAGCAATCTGTAAAGACAATGTAAAATGCTGAGAGCCTGTCATGGCTTAACCCCAGCTGGAAACTAATCACCACACAAATACTCACTCACTCCCCAGCCCCCTGTGGGGTGGGGGAGAAAACTGAAAGTGTAGAAGTAAGAAAACTTGCGGGTTGAAATAAAAGCAGTTCATTAAACTTAGAAAAAGGAATAACAATAACCATGATAGTAAGGAAAAGGGGAAAAAAAAAAAAAAAAAAGAACAACAACAAAAAAGAGAAAATACAACCCAAGAAAGACAAGTGATACAATTGCTCTCCTGCAACTAACCAAAGCCCAGCCAGTCCCCAAGCAGTGGTGTCCCCACCAACCTTTCCACTCATTTTATTGCTGAGCATGGCATCATACGGTATAGAACATCCCTTTGATCAGTTGGGGTTAGCTGTCCCAGCTGTGTCCCCCACAGACTTTTTGTGCACCTCCAGCCCACTCACTGGTGGAGTGATGTGAGAAGCAGAAAAAGGCCTTGACTCGGTGTCAGCACTGCTCAGCAATAACTAAAACATCCCTGTCTTGTCAACGCTGTTTCCAGTGCAAATCCAAACCGTAGCCCCATGCTAGCTACTATGAAGAAAATCAACTCTATCCCAGACAAAACTAGCACAGATCCACACCTCGGGATCACCTGAATAACTCCTCAGAGAAGAATCTTACTCTGTTTAATTTTCTGATCATGGTGGAGTTTTTCATAGATCACATGAGATAATGTTTCCCTTCCGTTAGGCTTCTAATGCTCTTCTAATGCACTTTCCTATCAGATCAACTTCACGATGTCACCCATGTGCTACTTCTGTCTTAATATTTATGAAAGAGAAAACTAAGTCAAGATGAATATATGGTGCATCTACAGTTTTTTTGTGAGGATTACCACCTGAAAGCCCAAGCTGTTAGCACTGAAGTTCCCCGAAAGGCATTGCATCCTCCTGTATAAACTACCAACCCATCACAGGGCAGTGCCTCCTAATTGCAGATACCTGTATCCTGCCAACACAGCCTTGGAGCCCTCAGCTACCTGTCACTCACATGTTGTCCTTTCAGTCAAAACTCAAAAAAGAAATAAGCTCACTAAAGGGCATCATGGACAAGACAGCAAACCTTTGCTAGGCAAGAAGGATCATCTGACGTTTTCCAGTTTGGAACTAAAACAAGTACCTATATGTTCCACTTCATCATTGGATTGCCAAAAGTTCCCATGATAGCAGTTCCTTACAACCATGATCTTTTCTCTCTTTTCTACTAAAAAAGTTTGGAGTTTTGGTCAGATCTATTTACGGCCGCTTCCTTCTTGCATGGTTAAAACTACAAGATGTAAGTCTTCCATGGCTGAAGATGAACCTTGAAAAAATAATGCATTATATCTCATAGTCAGCAAGGTGCACTGAATGTAACTGACAATTTTCGGATGTATAATCTTACTCTTTACCTGTGCTAGGTGTAGGAATGACGTCTGTCGTTTCAGAGAGGAAACAAATCTTCGTGCAATAGGCAGTTTCTTATCTGTCAGATTTTCTGGTAGATTTTCCAAAGAGGAAACAACCCACTGTTCCCAGTTTTTTGCAAAATTTCTTATATCTGCCAGTAAACTATAGGAAAAAAGATGTGTTTTAGAGAAACATCAGTAAAAATTGTCTTGCATTAGTTTAAATAATTGTGTGTCAATCTATGATTAACAGACTTTTGGACATAGCTGGGAATTACTCCTCAGGTGTCACCAAAAGGAAACAGGAAATAATCAATCATCAAAAGGATAAAATTGACTATAGGTATCTGTACCTCCTCTGAGAAAAAATGTAAGCCATCTGCGAATGGAAATAGGTTGAAACCCACTAGCTTTAAGAATAAACCATAAGAAATCCAAGAACCATTAGAGATATCTGAAGCTGAAGGCCTTAGTCAGACATAAAACCCCAAACAAGACGCCCTTCGAGGGAAAGATGAGAAGATTTGGGGGTAAGTTATAAAAATCCTCTTATTAAGAGAAAAGGCTTAGATTATTATGGTGAGGCATAGGACACAAACCTGAAAAGTGTTCTGAAAAAAAAGGTAACCATTATTTTTCCTTAAACAACACAAGGACATTTGTTTCTTTTTTGATCTTCTAGGGCTTTAGTGTAGAAGAAACCTATTTCGAAATATCCAATAAGCCAGTAAAATGGGACATTAAAATACTGTGTAATATTTTAAGGCTGTTCTATAGCTGTCCTCAGAGCTGACAGTATTTTACCATACCTACTCTACTGTTCTAAAAGTGAGCATAAATATTGTGAGAAAATTTCTCTAGGTTATATAATTTCTGCTACTTACCTGGAATATGCCTAACAAACAGAATGTAGCATTGTTATTGTCGAACACCTACCTTTCTGGCATTTCTTGCATTGTTGCAGGGATGAGTACATCTGTAAGGACCTTCAAAAAGGGAACAGAAAATGATATCAAGCTTCTACTGGACATCGATTAATTCAGGTCTGACTCGTCTACTTAGATTGCAAAGTGATAGGGACAGGAAATTTATACAGAATAAAGCCATTCAACCTATTGCCCAGATATTTATATACTTAGATTTCTCCCACAACTTTTAGATAGGAACATATGAGATATTTATATACCTAGATAGCTCTCATTCTTAACGTATGCCGGCATGCCAGTAAAACAAGAAAGTGCTATCACTCACGTCCTACAGTAGGGAAATCAGTAGAAGTGGGATGCATAAACACTGTCTTTTCCAGCATCGCTGTGGGACTCGGTAAAGCAGATACTCAAACATCTCCCAAGTTCTCAAGTGCTATTTAGCCACTTGACTCTTCTTTCTGCCACACTGAACGTGACACTGAAGGTGTTCAGAGTTTAGGACGAATCCTCTATAGCTAAGTGTGGTGTGGAACTGTTTTGGAAAAAAACTGTGTCATCTGGCATGCCTTCTGGGGAATGTTGTTGTGGAGGGCAAAGTTGTTAGCTTATATCCCCAAAACCTGTTTCCACTACTAATGTAAATGGTTTGATAACACCACAAAAAAATTCCTCCTTTTTTCTGGCAGCTATGCTGTCAAGAATATCTAACATGATCATAAGTGAGAAACAGTGAGAAACAAAGAAGAGGCCCAATAGTAAATTTATGAACTTTTGAGAAATTCTGTCTTATTCTATTTATAATTTAGTGCTCCTGTAGCATTTCTTCTTCTGTCACATTAAATAGTTATTACAAATAAAGTTAATATTGGGACAGCCCGTTTAGAGCAGGAAAAAACACATAAACTCAAAGTACATTATAACATCTACAAGTAAATGAAGTTTAATGGCTCATCTCTAGGGCAGTAATTATGATCTTTGATGTTAATCACCTTTACTGCACTCTGCTAACTAAAATACCTCTCCTTTACATCTCAATATGCTTCTAAGAAATACGCATTTTGATCTTTTCTGGATTTTTTTCCCCATATTTTTATACAGTAAAGAATGACAAATAGATGACAATAAGGCATTCACCGCTAAACAGACCCAAGTCTCTGACTGCTTAGTGTTTACTGCTACACCAATAGTTCTTTCTTCCCATCGATATGCCATTCTGAAACGTGTTAGAGAGAGGATGACAATCCTTTTCTATTTATATGGCAAGTTCTATCAGAGGAATTTACAGTACTTTGCAGCTATTAATTAATAATCCAATTTGATTTTCCTAATTAAAAACTCATGGAACTTTGGTGGCATTACTTTATTTTTTCCCCAGTGCTCTGTCTCTTAATCCTGACCTCGCAATACTCCTTAGTGTCACTTAGTTTCAACTGCTTGTGTGATCATGCTGTGAACTGGATCAAAGAACTCATATGGTACAAAAACTCTGCAAAACAAATGTTCCTTAGATATTTTTTAAACCCAAACCAGTTCAGAGTGCAGCGGTTTTGCTGGTACATCTAGCATCATAGGAACAGAAATGAAGTGCAGCAGGCAGGAGAGGCAGGAATATTTTAACCCAGTACTGTTCCAGCTTTGTAACATGAAACCATGGCCTGGCATAATCTGTGAGTAGCAGATTTGCATGGGGAATCATCTCACTGATCTGCCACAGACTGTCTTTGCTGGTAGAAATTGCAATAATCTTTTAAGTAAAAACAAGGCTTCAGTTTTCCTCCAGGCTTAATTTAGCCAGCCCTGTCAGTGAAGCACACAAGCATTTCTTTTAGCTACATCCAAGTAAGGGTGTCAGGATTTCACCATTAGTGTGCTGCTTGTAGTCACACTAAGTGTGCAGCAGAGCTGAGACTGGAGTCCAGCTCTTCCACGTGTCAGTTCTATGTACCTGATTTCAGTGGAATCCCTACTGATTTACACAGGTGAGAGGCAGAAAGCAGTCATGGCATCCTGCTGTTCTAACTCCAACGCTGTTTTTACACAAGCGAAAGCTGTCATGTGGTTGAGATGCTTAACTTACCTTATAGAGTATTGAGTCACAAACACAGAAGATGTCAACGATGATGGGATTTTCAAGCAGGGGAAGAAGATGGTCAGGCATTCCTTGCCAAAAGTGTAATAAGAAATGCTGAATCTAAAGGAGTAGGAACCAGATTCATGGACATAAATAATGCTTTCTTGGCTCCCTGTGCATATATACCAAGAACATGTGTTCAAACAACCTTACCTCTTCAAAGTTCCCATTAATTGCATTGTCAAGGACACACTGACAGTGTGTTTTGTACATCATGATAAGAGTATCTACCTATTTTGGAAGAAAAAAAGATTAAACAGAGTTTCTTAGCTCTCTCGCCTAGTGCTATAGTGATCTAGGTCTCTGCTTTCTGTAGCTAGTATTTAAATATAAAATAGAAACTGTGTTACAATGTAGGCAGTCTATATATCCAGAAGTGATGCAGAGGTCACTCATTTCTAGTTTTTATTGACATCTTTAAGTCTCAGTGCTGTTGTCGGAAATGTAGCATCTGAATCTGTATACATTGTGAAAATGAGGATATCAAGGTAAGGCAATAGCTAGATTAGCCAGTCAGATGGTAAAGTAAATTCACCTTTCTGAAGCGAAGATTAATCCCAAAGAGTAGTGCAAGTTAATCATTAGGCTACTATAGGCGTCTATGAGTGTTCTGAAACATCATCTAGTTGGACAAATGAGAAAATAGCTGCCAGTCATTTGGTCAAAGTTTAATCACTGCCTTACACGAACTGAACTTTAAAAAGCAAAACTCTCTTTTATCTCATCAGGCTAATTTATCTGAGTGGAGTGTTCCCTTATTTTAATAACTGTGCAGAGGTATTACGAGACTTTGTAAAAAAGGTAGTAAATTTTTACATTCTTATCAAAATATAAAACAAGGAATTTGTGAAATATTTTAAGGAAAGAAAAATGCTAGCAAAACCATCCTTATGGTCCAGAATCACAGAAAATTTGTCACAGCTTGTGAACTTCTCTGGCAAACCAATGTCAGGTTTCAAATGAACCTAGTACCACCTTATTTCAATAGGTTTAGCATTTAGATTTCTTTGAAAATGGACCTTGGTCACTTTCAGAGCTGCTTCTGTAACTGCGTATCTTTGAAAAACAATGGCAAGGCGTGAGATTTGCAAATATTTTAAAGAATTTTTTTTAAAGGGTTGATGGATATTTAAAGTTTCAGTAAGTTTTCTTCAGAAGCATAAAATGCAGCGATTATCAATCTATTTTAGCCCAGACCACTACATTTATGGATTTGCCAGAGATCTCAGTTACATGCAATTTCTTATGAGTTTAATGCAGGAGTCAAACTTCACATATGGGCTCTCTTCAACAGAGTACCTAAATAGCTTTGGTTCAATAACCCTTAGTCAGGTAAGCTGAACGAGGGGAAAGACAGTAAGGAAATAAAACATGAAATAAGAGAACAAGGAATGAGGGAAGAGCTGCAAGGAAAGAGAGTGGGGGACACACAGAAATTCATCTCTCCTCCCACAGTCTCCTCCCAACTCCATGAGTCTGTCCCCAGAGTCACCCACAAAGTCCTGCTGAGCCCTCCCATCATCTGGTTCCAACATCAGACCAATTACACGCTGCTGACACAAACATGAAACAAAAAATGAGTTGCATTTTTTTCTTCATTGTTGGAGTGGTAAAATTCAGTTTTGCTTACGCTGCTGTGTTGGGTCTGCAAGGACCCTCACATGCTCTTCCGACTTAAATGTTAGGAGAATGCTGTATATATGAGAGATGTCAATTAACTGATGGAGACTATAGCAGCGGGTGATGCACACTGCTGAGTACACCAGTTCTTGGGCTTTCTTTAGGAACTGTAAGATTTCCAGCTAAGATCTCTGTACCACAGATGCCTCCTTTCTTTAGCTCCTCACAACAGGAATTCTAGGCTTCACTACTTTCACAGAACAAACTTAAGAGGAAAGGCTCATCAAACAAAAAGCTTTAAAGCAGCATATCTCAAGACAGCCACCATCATGACCCGTACTGGAGGCTAAATCGGGGAGTTCACAATGTGTATTAAAAGATTTCTAGCACAGTTCAGGGATGTAGCAGCCTATAACATGACCAGAAACAACACAGACATAACACACAGGCAAGTAGTTCAAGACACAAAACATGCCAGCGATACTGCCAACTCAACAGTTACCCTTACGATGAGCAATACTGAGTATTGATTTGAGGAATATGATTTTACTAATTAAAAAAAAAGCTCAGATTTTCACAGTCTCCTTTCAAACAATTAATGAAAGAGCATAAAGTCCATCTAATTATTTGTGGTGAATTATTTGTTCTGATCTAATCAGAATGAAATTTACCTTAAATCCAAAGGCATTTGGAATGAATACAACTCTTAGTTATTTGTTTTGCTCTCCCCGTCTTACATACCATCAGTTTGTAAAATGCTAGGTCAGTTAATAGGTAAATAATTCAACCACCTTTCCAGCGGAAAGCCAGTTAATCGGTGTTAGTAAAGGTTTGCCCCCTCTATAAATCAGTCACCTCTGTTTGATTATGGACATTTCTGGCTCTTTCATGTCAATACCTCAAAGGCTAAGATACGAAAAAACATTCTGTGGCAATTTTTGATCTGTAAGTCAGAGAAGAAGTAGCTCACGTTTTACCTTGTCTTTAGAAATGCACCCTTGAAGCAAAAGGTGTTGAGCACTTGGAAACTCTGGGAGGAGAGTCCCAGTTTTGGAACTCAGAGAATATTTACGAGTGAAACCACCCTGAAATGAAAGAGAAAAAACAGGAACATTGAAATAGTTAATGTAGATTCAACTCAAACCAATAATTCATGCTAAACTTGTATATTATCCCATGAGTCTCTCAGAGTTCGAGAATACTTACATTCAGATAATCCTTCCAAAATATTGATGCTTATCCAGATCTGGATTCCAGCTCAGGAAGGTAATTAAACATGTACCTAGACCTAAACTCCATCAGATAATTTTCAGAGTGGTGCAACCTTTGAGCCACATTACTTCATGGAATTCTACAAGCTTCAGATTTATTCTGTGTTTAAAAACTAAAGTGGAATACTACTCTCCTCTACAGTATGGACCGTGATATCCTCAGGGAGAGCCTAAGTTTAATTTAATATGTAGCTTTCTAGTGCACAGCTCTGGAGATACTGTTCTCCCCTGCTCTCTTCCTGTTCTGATAGCACAGCAATAGTGATTTCTGATATTTTACTATGGTAACCATTATTTTAGTTTACCGTAAAGTTTGATAATATTTTATGATGTTATGGATGCAATGGTATGTAGGGTCTATGGACACTTCTGAACTGAGTGTTTATTATACAGCTCTCTGTGATTATGGCAGATTTGACATGAAGCTCTGGTTTCATATCTCAGTAGGAATGATATTCCCAGCTGTTTAGTGTTCTCCATTGGCTTTGTTGAGACACGGTCAATGTTGACCTGAAGACCAGATCAGTTCCTCCCAAATTATGCTCAATTCTGCTGATCTGAGAGTTTCAGTTCTTAGAGTCCACCTCTTAAGCCTCTTCAGCTTGTGACATCTGAAATATCATTGATACAGCTTCTACTCAGTCTACAGACTGAGAGAAGATAACTGAATAATTATTAGCTGCTAGCCTTTGGAGAGGTGGGACTGAAGGCTGAACCAACAAGCAGTCTTCTGTGTGTGGATACTGACAGTGAAACAATATATGGTAAATCAACACTTGTTTAGATCCCTAATCTAACACTCTCACAAAATCTGATTTAGGCTACTTCTCAGTAAAGCTGAGCAGCAACATTCTGTAGTGACATAGTGTTACTGTGCTTATATTGATAATGCACACCACATTACGCTTATTAAGCTCTCAAGTGATATAATTAAGATGAAACCCTTATCCTCAAGAGAAGCAATAAAATCTGTATTATGATTCTGTCCTTACTGACTGAATTGTGCTTGTTTTCACAGGATTGCATTCAAACCTAGAGAAGATTATTTGTCTGAAGCCCTTTGTTCTGTTTTAGCCCACACAGTCTTCATGTCAAGGCAGTCTCCAGAGCCTTGAGCAGGACTTCTGCATACTCCTGCAGTAAATCCATTTACGTCTGTGCAGATTCCCTTTGTACTAATGGATGGAATTTACAACCATGCATGAGGCATTTGAGCAGTACTTCAGGTGGCCTTTCCCTATCCCTTTGCATAGTCGGATTTCCCTGAAGTGGGAATAGTAGTGTAACATATAGTGTAAAAGTGCAAAGGAGAGTATTTTCTTATAAATGTTGACTCATTAATCGGAGGCCAGTTTCAAGCGAAATTCTTTTAAATACTGAATGCAGAAAACCATAGCTGTAACTGACTTATTCACCATATATATGCTAATAGTCCTATTTTTATAGGAAGATATGTCCACCAAAACAGACAGCAAGGAATGAAAGCACACATCATGTAAACACACTCTACCTGTGCTATCTACTGTTCAAATACATATAAAGCTCTAAGTCAAAGAAACTGTAGAAATTTAGAAACATTAGTACTAATTCGTGTCAATACTTTTGCAGTGTTATAATTGCCTATCAGTATCAGGAGGTTTGTTCTTTTTAACAACAGGAGTAATCCTAATGATTTTATTATGCAATTACCCATGAAATATATTAAAAGCTCTGATTAAAAGGGATTAGTTCATTTAAAAGAAGGCAGTGATGGTGGTGGGAGGTTTAAGAGAAGATAATCTGCAGTGTTTTTTAGCTTGCTAATGGATTTATATGACTGTGCTTCAGTTCTAGGTTTAATATTTTAACCCACTGCCACTTGCCCTTTCAATTTAATGCCATCTGTTTCTAATGGCCATTTAACATTAAGATAATGACAGTAATATTATCTGCCTAATTAACCATGCAGACTGTAATGGTGTACTAACTGGTTTAGATAAAAGAATTTGCTGATATCTCCCCCTACAGAGAGAATACTAGAAAATGTGATAAAACATACCAGAAGTAAACAGTGTCCCTGGCACTCAATAAGTGTTCATTCAAATGCCATTTACTCAGTATATTTAGACAATCAGTGCCTTAACATCTTTTCGATGTCTTTATGTTCCTTCTGAGAATTACACCTTATGCAATCATTGTAAATCTTTCTGGAATACCTAATTGCATGTACTTTCCAGCAAATGAGTAAGGATACATCACCCGTTTGCTTTAATGGAAAGTATGATGCCAAATTTTCACTGCGCTGGGATTGTTAAAATTCAGTATTGACCATGAAAGACATGTCTTTCTTTTAAGACCTGCCTGAATTTCAGACAACATAGAACTAGACAATCCAAAACTCATAGTTCCTCACTTATTTCCACCAACTTCTCTGTGATTCTTTTTCTGGGAGGACAAAGGTATTGAACTTTGGGGCAGAAACAAGACAGGCTTTTGGGACTGTCTGTTCCCAAACAGACTAGTAATGCCACATCAGAGATGGAAGTAGATGTGTATTAAATTATGCCATTTTTCATCCCAAAACTCTGAAAGACTGAATGCTGTAGTAGTGCTCATGACTCCTTGAATATGTTGGGGATGTCCCATGGCTTAGCACTACCTTTTCTTGATAAGAAAGCTGATTATCTGAAAAGGGAAAATGCAGCAGATCTACTCTATCTGAACCTCACTAAAATGCTTAACACGGTGTCACCATAGGAAATTATTAGTTATGCTGGTGAGAATGGGGATTACTACAAGAATGTAAAACGTTTAAGAAACTGACTTGAGCTGAAATGCTAACAAGTTGTGTTAACAGGGAAACTAATGGGTTGAAAAGGGACTGAAGTGAAGATTCTCAAAGATCAGACTTGGGGCTAATCTCACTGAATAATCATAGAATAAATTGGCTGACATAAACTAATGAAATCATCAATAAAGAGGAAGACCAAGAGGTCATGTAGAAAGATCTGGATGGCTTTGAGATAATGGCAATAAAGGGGGATGAAAATCAATAGAGCAAAGCTACACTCTCAGGGGCCAATAAGAATTTCTGCTATCAGCTAGGAGTTGCTTATCTGGAAATGAAAAAGAAGAAAGATTTGCTGTGTATCAGTTGATCACAGAGGGTATATTTAGCCTAGTAAATTAAGTGGTGTCAGGAAACATTCCCAGGCAATACTGGAACAGTATTATTCAGAATGGCCCCTGGCATTCTTTTCTCCCATGCCAATTAGCAGTCTCCCAAAAAATTCCTAGTCATGCTTCAACAGTGACTGCATGCTACAGAATTTTCTCCCATGACAGTGTGGCTCAGATGTGCCTAAATTATTTCGTAGGTTTGAGAGTTCAATAACATGAATGCAGGCTATTCCATGCCAGTTGAACTTAGTGTCAAAAAACAATTATGGGGGCAATCCTTAACCTTTCATATAGAGTAATTAATAATTTTCTGGTACAAATATGACCAGAATGACAGTGACTATACCATAATCTACAGTAGTGAAAATGTAGGCTACTTGTGGGGAAAAAAACAACAACAACAACAACAAAAAAAACAAAACAAAACAAAACAAAAACAAAAAACAAAAAAAAAAACAACCCAAACACAGTTCTAGGGTTCATCAGAAGGAATATTTCCAATATAAATTGGAGGCATGTCATTTGCAAGACTTTACATTTTTTTTCTGTAAAGATACTCAAATCTGAACAAGCACAGTGAAAGGCTATAAGGCTGATCAGAAGTGACTAAAAGGTGCTGCCTGTTCCATTTAGCAAGCAAAAGCAGCAAAAAGACATATCACAGGAAAATGTCATCAGCAGTTAAAATTAGAGAAAGACAATCCTGACCAGGAGGTATAAAATTCAGTTTATTAAAAAACAATCTTTTGGCTTCCAATCAGACAAATAAGATTCTGAAAAAACCCTCCTGCAAAAGTAATGGATGCAAAAAATTAAGCTAGAGCTTTGCTTAAGAAGGTCTATTACAAACCTCTGTGGTTATGGGGAAATGGATTTGAACAAGAACCCCCAGAAGGTGTCTTCCAGTCTTATATTTCTTTTAATATTTAGAGGAGAAAATATTGAGCTTCATGAAAAAAGGCTATGCAGACTGATCTGTAATGAAAAATGCTGTTGTAATTTTCAAAGAAGTGGATGTAGATAAAACCACAGGTCACATAATATTTGGATTATAAACAGACGTGAAAGCTAGCAGACTACAGAACTTACCTCATTCTTTAACTTGCTTCCAGAGAACCTTTGAAAATAAATACATTTTATTATTTCTTCATAAGCAGAACAATTTTAGAGTTTGTATATATATATACACATATAAAATAGATAGATAAAATAGATCAATTAGAAAAATTATCACATTTCTCCAAATGTAATTATAATAAAAATCATGCCTTTTTCTTAACTTCTATTGTTTTGCAAGTACCTGAGGATATCAGGAGACCTACTGATGTCTTCTAAAATATGAAGATTCAGATCATTGACCAAACAGTAAAGAATAAAACCCAGTTTCAGTTTTTTCTTTGGATCTTTGCAACTCCACAAATAGCAATAGTCAGCATAGGTGCAAGTCCATAAACTCTTTACCAGATAATACACAAAGTTTTTGATACAGCTGAGTCAATTCAGAATAGAAAAAATCTATTTAGAATTTACACGTCTTAGGGAAATGAAGAAATGATAGTGCTTCTTCATTCTTTTTCACTGCAGTATTATTCTGAGGTAGGCAAAATGCATTTCTGAGATCACAGATTTATTAACTGGCAAAAATGTGTTGCGGTATAGTGAATGTCCTACTGAGAGTCCACCTGAGACATTCTCATTGAAGTCCTGGACTATCAGGACTATCAGGCAACTCTTTGGTGCAGAAATTAGAAAGTACATGTTTTAAATTACACTTACTAAACTAGAGAATGTGTAATGATAGAGATTCTAATGGATCAGTATAATGATAAATGTTGTTTGATTATTGTTACTTCCTGTTCTGCTAGCTGCCAACTGATAAGATACTGTGGACAACAAGAAGTCTTATAATTATCAGTGGCAATTGTGTGATTTCGTGCTGTTGAGGTGCTCTGCTGGCAGGACAGAAAGCCAGAGGCTGAGCGGTTGTGGAATTCCTCCTGGCCAGGCCAGGCACAGGTGCCTGACAGCTCCCATCGCGTGGTGATCCAGCTTGTTTCCTACAGAGTTCCCTTGGTTGTCGATAGATGGGTATGAAAGAAGGCATCACTCAGTTGCTTACAATGTGGAGCTAATTAGCTTCATAGCTGGATGTATTTGTTACGGACTGTGGACTTCCACATGCACCGCAGAATGAACACAGCACGTCCAGCGAAAACATGAGGCAGCCTCTGCTAGCACTGCTCCTCCAGAGCCTTAATTGCTGGCTAAAGCTACCCTCCACACAGTGCTGTGGATACTAACAATTTTTGATGTTAGGCATGCTCCTTTCACAGTGCAAGGCTTGGTATTTAAAGGAACCAGGAAGTCAAATTTACTGTGGAATTTAAGGATTCAGGCATCTGCAACGTTGCATTTAAGGACTACTGTACTCAGCTTAATTACCTAAGTATTAATACATGAATGTCAATTAAGTTTGAAATGGCAGTAGAGGGCTGTATTTAGGCAACCAAACTGAAGCCCATTGCCCCTTCTATCTTTTACCAGGTTGCCATCTAACACGCAAGCCTTTACCACAGGTAAAGGCCTCCGTATGCCTACGTTTGTGCAGGGACATGGTGTGATCTGATGCCATTATCAAACCATGTATTTTCCCTGCCTACATCTTCCCCAAGCTTGACTGAGGAACATTTTCACAGCTCACCTACCAGAACAGACAACAGACAAATGACAGATTTTACAGTGGATCATTATATGCAACAGCCAGCAACTGGGAGATTCGTTGTCATTCTGAATCTCTACACTGCCTGACCTTTTCCTTACCCAGGAGCTTGTTCTTAAACCCGGGCTGCTGCATCATTCTCTTCACACAGACAAATCCAACCACAGTGATGTCCCAGACTGTGCAAAATGAGCATTTAACCGTCTATTCTAAGTCAGCTAGGGAGGCAATTTGACTGCTGGATCCTGAAAACTCAGCATCTCATACATGAGAGCACAAGTCCTAACACAAAGAAAAGGTTCCTAACTAGTGAATCTAGTGCATCCAGTGAGTACTCCTGAAAATCTTGGAGAGTCTCTATGCCATCTTTATGGGAGTCTATACCATTAGAAATCCAGCTGTGGGGAATTTTGCAGAACCTCCGCTTTCTTTGCATTCATTGCTGCTAGACTGTGCAAGGACAGAGCTTTAAATGAAAAGGGCACTGGCTGAAATAAAGCTGAGGACTAAGATTGATTATACTCCCTTAAATGAAAATAACTGTCTTTTAGTCAATTAAATGAGCAATTTGTTCAAGATAATTATGTATTATGAAAGAACCTCATCTCGCTGTGTACCAGCAACACTTCCGCAGCTCTGGATAAATACTGGACAAGGAAATGGCATGTTCCAGTCTATTATACTGTAAGTCAGTCCTGCAGTGGAGAGATCCCTCCTTTTAAGCATCACTGACAACATTACCCTCAATTTTTACACCTGTCCTATTGCCTGGAAAAAGTCTCTGCATATAACCTAAATCCGCCAGCAGCTGAATTTTCTGTGTGATGATAAATTCATTTATTCCTTTTCTTTTCTCAGAGTCCCCACTTATACAGGCATACTGCCATAGACAATGAAAGCCGTCATTCAAGCCATATGTGAACAGAGACATTTGTTTTACAAACTATTAATCTTTGGCAAACCAACAGGCAGCTATCGTAACGTATTGATCCTGCTAGCTGTCCCTTAAATAAATATAATTAGAGCTTCCTGGGTTAGGTTTAAACTGATATTAGCCAGTCAAAGGACTTGTAAATATTAATCTACACTGACCCCTCCCCCGTGCCCACAGGTGCCAGCTTCACACCATTCTCCAGACGTTTCATAATGGGAAGCTGTCCTGGGGAAAGAACTCAGAGGGTGACACGCAAGCAAACAGAATGAGACAAGTGTTCTGGAAATGGTGGTTTGCTGCCTCGCATGAACAAATCCTCTGCTGTTAGAAGGTGATGCAGCTCTACACTGATTGTGGTGGGACCCATGCTGGAAGACACCGGAAAAGATCTAGATCAACCTCTTCATATAAAAAGTCTTTAACCTCTTCATATAAAAAGTGTCTTTAGGAAGCAAACTGCTACTTAAATCTAGGAATGCCAGGGATATGCAGCAATACTAGTTCTGGTATCAACAAAAATTAGTGTTCTACAAATACCTTCCTAAGGGAAGGTCAAGTTAGACCTTCACTAACGAAATCTCAGGAGTTATGTTACTGTACCTGGTTAAGCCTTTTCCAGAATACACAGAGTGGTAGTATGCACTGCTTTCTTTAATGCCAATTCCATAGTAGTGATACCTGTGGAAAAAAAAAAAAAAAAGAGGAGTGTTTATGAGTGACGTGTCATGAAAAACAAAGTGTCAAATTGATTTTCAATGCTTTCTGAAAACTATTCCTAACAGTGTCTATCAATTCCTTTCAACAAAACCTGGTCTCAGAGAAAACAGCATTGTCATGATTCAATCCAAAATTCAAGGATAGGATCTTCTCTAAATTTAAAACACTTTCTCTCTTACAAGAAAGTAGATGGAACAGCAAATCTCTTAGAAACACGTTACATCTCTTTTCCCTAATGTGCATTCTCTTTCGTTTCACTTCATCTGTTGAAAGTGTGCCAGGTTTGATCTACCAGATTTATTTTATCAGGTTTACCACTGATATATTTAGACAATCCCACAGAGCACTTCTCAGTTGAAAATAACTCACCAGTGTAGCCTACTAATTAGTGTTCAGCCTCCTGTGGCTGAAAATGCTCATCCATTCATTCTTCTCTGAGGCTGTAGGCTGACTGACTCTCAATTACTCAGCCATTTAAGCAGTTCTCATCCACATTTGTCTCCCTTGCTGCTCTCCTGGAGATTACTGCTCCCAAATAGAGCTGGAAGAAGGAAACATGTGCCTGTTGCTCAGGCCCTGCAGTGCTGAGCCAACACCTTAACCAAAGACACTAAAGAGGGTGGGTTGGTGCTAAGAAAACTGGCTATGCAGTAGATACTTACTGCTTTCCACTGATTTTGCTACAAAAGAAGTGACCTTCAGGAGGGCAGGAGAGCAAGCTGGGGGCAGCTCTTTCTTTACCGGTCATAGCAAAGTTTGCTTGAGCTCATCTATCAAAGGTGATAGCTCTGTCTTATAAATTCCACTCAACAGATTTAAAAACCTGATTACGTTAAGCCAAATTTGTCTAAGAATGTTATGGACAGTATACTCAGGTTGATTTTACTAAAATTAGCTTGAAAACACCAGGGCAACTGCTTTAACTGAACTGCTTCAAAGTATCACTCGTAGTTCAAGTACATTGCGTGTACACCAAGCCTAACACAGAGGTGACACTTGGCAACACATTGCGCGAATTTCACTGAAACCTCTCAAAAGCTTGAAGAAATGCACTCTCAAGACACAAAGCTCCCAGCAAATAGTTCAGAGAACACATAAACAAAAGCTTTCAGCTCATCTCTGCTGTTCCTCGGGATGCCCATTAAAAAAATCACAATCTTATTGTTTGTTCTTGTATGGGACAGTCACAGATAAGAACAAAACCTTCAAATGCTTTAGAATTACAGAGCTAACCAAAGGCATTAGATACAAAATATATTTAAGAAAATGTTCATTAGAGTGATAAATTTGCTTAGCCTAGGTAGCTTTGAAAATCTCAGCTGAAATAGTCATTCTGTTTCTGGACAGTCTGTTGGGTGCATTCAGGATTTTACAGCAAGAAACGTGACAGAAAGTGGCTGCTATTAACCATCATAGTTTTTACTTTTTGCCTGAAACTGATGAGTCTACATAATATCACTAGATTGCAGTGGCACCTGGCAACCCACAGGAAGGCCGAAAGTTTCTCCCCTATTTCTTTATTGTTAGTTTTCTTGCCCCCTAAGTGTATTTTTCTGAGGGATGGTGATGGGGTGAACTCAGCATTTTTAAATACCTGTTAATACTCAGACGCTCAGACATTGGACCATTTGCTCATAACAATTCTCTTTTTAAAGTCCCATTAAAGTCAGGGTTGTCTGATCAAAGCAAAGTGAGACACCTCAAGGTGGTTTAGGATCCCAACGGGACCTTCCGCTAAATGTCACAATGCAAGACTGTTGTCCTCTGGTTCACACACACATTCTGTGTCACCTATGGTGTGAGTTACCATCCTGAAGGTTTTCAACCACCACTTTTGGTTTAGCAGTATTAAAGAGACAGATGTGGGCTAAAGACCTGGATCTGAAAATTCCTAGTAGTTGACAGAGTTCTTACACAAATGCTAAAGGCATGAACATTTTTTCTTCTTTCATGAACATTAAGTAATTTTAGATGTGACACAAGAGGTATTGAAAACATACACGTATGGATTGCTTGAAATAACAGCATTTACTTCGTTCCGACACTGAACAGGATGAAAAACAAAAGAAAGCTCTGATAGCTTCTTTATCAATGTTATCTGCACATTTGCCATTGACCATGTAAGCAAGCAGTTGCCTACATCTCATTCCAACACACTAAATCTCCTGGTTTCGATCACATGCCATTTTTTAAATTCTAAAAATAAAACTTTGCACTTTCACCACAAATTTGGAATTCCCTCCTGCTAAAGCTGGGGTGGGCCAGAGGCAAGGAAAAGCATTGCTTCTTTACTAAGTTTGGATTCAATATCTAGATTATTCAACATCTAATTCAATGTTAACATATTCGGGCTGGAAACAGAAATTGTTGTATGATTTGGATTCTTAGGTTTCCAGTGGTAGGCAATATAGTTTTTCCTACTCTGGTATGCCCCAAGATATCAGAATTTACCATTGTGACATTTTGTTATGTAGAGAATAGCTATTTTCAGTACCTGTTCTGTGTGTATTAAAGGTACAGCAGTTACCATTCCGATTTCCTTCAGTGATTTGTGTAGTTGAATTTTTAGTACTAAAAAATACAGCTTTACAGACATGACACAGAAACAATTTAAAAAAATATAATCTGTACTTTTCAAGCTCTGTCTCGCATACTTCACAGAGTAATAAGGTGTCAAGATTCTGATTCTCTTACAGGACAAAGTCATTAGGCTGAATGGTTTATTTTGGGCTTCCTGTTGAGAGTAGTATACCCATCCCAGGCACAGTGATAATATCTTCAACCGACAACTTCAAGCACCCTCTTTCCATCTCTTTGTATACATATTTCTGTGTGTATGTACAGTATATATGCATTTTACTATTTATATTTCTATTGTATAATTAATAAAATCAAACCAGTCATCATAGGGAACTTATTCTCAATTTTTGTAACAAACCTTTTAAAAAACAAGCCAAATTGCCTTCCTCTTTTAATTTCAGTGGTTGGCCGTAACATATGTTCCTACGCAACTAGTAGCCCTGATTTTAGCATACACTGACACAAATGATAGCTGATAAGAAAATTATAGGCTTAAGCTGTTCAGGGACTTGCAATAACTTGTTATCACAGGGCCAGCTGCCATATCAGTTTTATTAACCCACTAAATCACTCCTAATAAATAAGATAATAGTTTTCAGACATGATGGATAAAAGCTAAGATTCATCATTGATCAAAGTCTACAAAGAAATTAAATTGTAACTTGAGCTCAAACAGTCTTCTGTGTTTATGGACTGAGCAGTACGTACGTTTTCCCGAATAGCTGCCCCAGGCAATTCATGTATCGTGAAGGTTATAACTTAATTCTAGCAGTGACCACAATATGTTTAACAGTACCCATGCAAAAAGGCAGGTTCAGAACCTGCTGCACAAACAGTTGTGGACTATGAAATATTCATCTAATAGAGCAGTCTGCAGGATTTACAGTGCTGGGTCTTCTTCCATGCAGCAGGAATACAGAAAACATCCCCTAGATTCAGCAATCGGGAGTGATTAGCATGGGCGTGAGAGATGAATGAACTTTGTTAACAAAATTGTGTCCAATGCGTTGTACCTTCTTGGCTAAATGTTTAAATGAGTGGTTTAGTACTGACACTTTTGTACAAATGGGGTTGTTGGATGTAAACACAGAAACACTCTGACTCAAACTTCCAGGATTTGTTAGACCCATTTTTAAGTCTCTCTTTTGCCCAGAAATGGAGATGACAAATGCTGCTTGGAATCAGAGCAGGAACTAACAGTTGTGTATCTCACACCTTTGAACAGCACCTGTATGCCACATCTCAGAGCAGGAATTCTTTCTCAAAACCAATTCATGCTCATGAGAATGCTAGAGAGAGCTTGGCCTTGTTTTGGTGTGGGAGCAAAACAATTTCTGCCACCTTGAAGAGGATGGAAAAGCGAACTGATTTTCTTTGCTTTCTTCTGACCACAGCCAGGCTCTATCGATAGGTTACTGTGTATGCACACAGTGCCCAGTAAGGCACTTTATTCCCAGGCAGTTAGCTTTCCTTTGCAATATAAGAACAATGATTCCATTGGAGAGGAACTGTCTTTTTCCTTTCATGCTTTTGCAGCATCTGGCTCAGTAGAGCCCTGGACAATGATCAGAGCTCCTAGGCAATATTGCCATCTGAAACATCACTGTCAGGAATAGTCTGTCCTATTATTTCTCCTACTAACATTATATCAAAATAATGATAGCAACAACAGAAATAAAACAATGTCACTACACTACCATGCTTTAAAAAATATTATTTAATTGCTAGTAACAAGTGTCTCTTACCAGTCCCAGTAACCCAGCTTTGTTCAGCACAGAAACAGCTTACAACATTTAGAGTCTGTGCTGACATAAATGCAGAGGGTAACTACTCATTTACCGAAACTGATGAACACTCCCTTAATTTGCTTATTAATTTAATGGCAATACGTCTGTAAATTATATTTGTGTGACTAACTGCCACCTGGTGAAAGCAGAAATTAATTTGCTCCTCAGTGAGCCTGGTTCTGAGGGGAATACAGTCCACAACATCAGAGATAGATAATCAGAGATCATTATTTATACTGCCACTTCTCTCTGACTTCTTGCTGCTGTGTATTCAATCTCTGAACTGGAGATATTGTCGCTTGTGCCTCTTGAGAGGTCCTTTTTTGCACAGCAAGAACAATGTCAGTGTATCTTAGTGGAAATGAGAATTGCAGAGGAAAAGTCTCCAAGGAAAACTCTGATGAAAAAAAATAAGGAGAAACAAATGCCAGATGTTCAAACAAAACCCGCTGATGCCTCATCCCTTTGAGGAAATTGTTCAAGAACGGTTAATCCATATGAAAATATGGCATACAGTACCACCAAGGTAAGTAGGGATGTGGGATCTGCTGAAGAAACACGGGGCATGAAGTACTTCTGTGCTAATACTGTTAAACGTCTTAGAGAAAAGGGGAATATAGTGACACATGTCCCAACACAATTAATTTTGTAGCTAGATTCCCATGTCAAAAACTAGATTTGAAACATACTCCTCTACTCAATAGAGGTTGACTTACTGTGCTTTAAATTATGAAGACACTTGATGCGTTTTGGAAGTTTGGATCTTGTTTATTAATCCATTGGATATGTCAGAACAAAAATATAATGAGCATTTGGGAGACTTTTCCCTTTGTATTATCTCATTTGTTATAACTTGAAAGTGGTTCTCTAAATATGCTGTGTTATGAACCTGGCGAAGACTTAACCAAGGCACTGATGAGTTAGTAGGTTGTCAAATATTCCTGCACAGATTGGGAATGCAAGATCTCCTAAAACCTTAAGAACAACACCAGCAGCAATTGTCCATCTGCAAAGCTGACTAAGCCTACATCAGCTTATCACTGTAACCATAGCTGAACTTCACCACAGCAGACAATACGTGAAATCTCTTTTCCCCTACCCTTTCTAATAGTAACTCTACTCAAAACCCCTCTATTCAGCATCTGTAGGCCATCTACAAAAAGAGAAATGTACTTCGGTTCCAGTTTGTCTCTATACAATGCAGATGGTGAACTCTTCCTGAAAAAAATCACTGAATTATGCATTTGTAAGACTGTGACAGAAACTACGCAAGAACTGTCTTCTGTTAAAAAAGAGAAAATATTCCATGCAGGCTTTAATTCCTTTGGATTTTATTTTTATTGCTTATTTAAAATAAACACTTGAGACATACTCAAGAAATAGAATGCCTTTGTAAAAACGTGGAATTTAAATTCTTCCCCACCTTCGTTTATAGTGCAACAAAACCTAATATTCACAAATGACATCTCCTATGAATTCTTCAGTAAAACTAAGGTGGAGTCAACTCTCTACTTCTTATATATCTAAGGCAGGAATAAAACCAAGCACAAGACCATGAAACAACCCCCCAGAGTTATAAAAGTAAACAGTGCATCTTTCAGACATTCCTAGTATATTGCAAAGCTCCTAGGAAGACCACAGTCTCACAGGTTTTTCCCTTGTCAGTCTCCTTTTGTTGTGAGCTTTGCTTATAAATTACTGAAAAGCAAGAGTAACTTTGTCTCTCAGGGCTAAGTCATTCGAAATAAAGAGTTTTCCCAAACAAACAGGAATGTTTGAGTTGCTTCTGTTACTACCAGTATTCTGGATTTCTATCTTGTTCATTAGCAAAATGGTTCTTTGCTAATTTTCTGGGGTTTAGTTTTGTTTCTGTAGACCATCAACTCTTTGTGTTGTCTTCTGTAAGTCAAGGATAGTTTCATGACTCTTATTCAGTAAGTGCATAAACACATTTGTAATTTTAAGAATGAGAAAAGTCCTAGGGCTACTCACATATCTAAAGGCATGCACCTCCTAAGATATAGGCATTAATAATAAATGTTTAATTTCTGTGTATACACAGAAAGCTGGACACAATAGCTATCCTAATTTCCTCCTTGTAGCAATGTCTTATTTTTATGAAAACCTCTTCTGTACTCAACAGAGATATGCAGATAAGGATCTGGTCTAAATATGATTTGGGATTGAAAAGCATTAAGTTTTGGAGAGTTACTTTTTGGAGAGTTACTTTAAAAGAGCAAAATTATTTAACTAGTCCTATTTTATGTTGAATGGCGTAGGCGCTATGTAGGTTTAAATATTTTTTTACACCGGATATTGATAAACACTGAAATAAGTTTAAATCACAGCAGTCAGAAAAGCTCAGAGCCAGCCTTGGCTTCAGGCAATACAGAGAACTATTGTATTTGTGACTCCTCAAACAGAGATAGAACTTTCCTAGAATTACCGAACTCATAGCTTGACACTAGCAATGCCCCAGAGCATTATTTTGACTTCTCTACGTTTCTTATATCAATACACCACACAGTTTTGAATTTCCTTAAGAAGTAGCATTTCCCTGTTAAAAAAACAAAATCAGATTGTGGACAATTCATCAGTCCTTCCTCAGCAGTCTTGATATCAGGACATAGGAGGAGGGCGGCTATGAGGGAATATGTTTTTACCACTGCTCACCACAGTTTTACACTAACTTTACAATGGCCAAAAGCATAAAGCCAGAACCAGAACTAACAAAAATTTTGCAACAGGTGATATATAATTATCTGTTGTATATTTTTACAGCCCAATATTCCACAGATCAAATATACAAATTGGATACCTTATTTATGAAATGACTGCGCTATAGGTTGTGTACTTTTCAGAGTTTTTATAAATTGCCCACCACAATGAGCAGACATACACCTTCTTTCTCAATTTAAGACAATGCTTTTTTCTAGTGTCTTTAAATGAATACATATTGTTATGTAGATAACACCATGAAAGTTGCTAGGTTTGAAAAAGGCAAATAAAATCGAAGTTAAATTGCACATTATTTATAGAAAGATGAGCAGCTGTAACCAAGATACAGGTATTATATAATGGGTTTTACATATAACATTTTGACATATATTTGCAACAAATGCATGGCTCTATAAACATGAAGACAATTTTTAGAAGCTTAGTCAGTTTAGTCTTAGAAATTATGCCTGCAGTAATGTTTTCAAATTCAAACTCTGTATCAATTTCTTCATGTACATGAAAGTTATCACTTGCAGCTTGCCATCTGAATAAACCCCCCCTGCCAATTAGTATATGCCAAGGAGATATGGAAATACATGTCATTCCTAGAATAAATTCTGTAAGTGGATACACAGATAATTGTGCCTTACTTTGAATGGCCCCTTGTTCCAAGCCGCCTTGTGGTAAGCAGAGGGAATTTCTGCCGAATGGTCTAAAGAGAAAATAACTGTATTAATTTCTAACACTGGTGTACTTTCTCAGCAATCTGCTCACAGAAAAATCGTAGAGTAAATATATGGTCTAATGTAGTCCATGAATAAACATTTGTGACACTTATGTCACAACATAAACAATTAAGCACATCTTACACTGCAGGGGTCCTTCCAACCTCGTCCATCTCGCTGTCTATCTCCAGTATTCCCACCCATAAACTCCTTCCCACCTGTTCTTCCTTTCCATTTTCACTTCTACAATTGAAAATCTAGATTTCGGCACCAGGATCCTGTTTCATCAGGACCCTAAAGTACAACTGTACCTTCTGCTTCAGAGATCTAAACAGAACCAGGGAAAGATCTGCCCTTTATTCTGTTTTCAAAGTCAAACAACTAAAAATAAATCAAACAACTGAAAATAAACTTATTTTTGATGTGAAAAGTGTGATCTGAAGGTTAAAGCAAGCAAATATTTGCCTCACAGGTACTTTTGTGTCCTCCATTATCAGTGCTGGACAGTCTTAAACTTATTTATGCTCACTGAAACCCTGTGAAAGTTTCCGTCAGCTCTGTGCCGCACATAAAGAATTCATGTTATGTGCTTTAATCTAAGTCAAGCAAAACATTCTGTCACTGGACTCCTGAGATTGAGATTAGTGCCCTAAAAACATCCTACTCTTCCTCTAAAGAATTATGTTTAAGGCAAAAGGTTTATTAAGTAAAAAAAGTAATTCAGTAATAGAGGTGGATCTAATAGATCACTATCAAAACAATGTTTAAATTGAAAGCCATTGTGTTTCTCATTTATACTGAAACTGTGTAATTAAAATTAGACATACACTTTCTCAGTATATCCAATTCAAGAGGAAAAAAAGAGTAAGTGAACGTTTTTTGAACTGGATTTTAAATCCATTATTAGTACTTAATTAAATTAATGTATTTTGCTATGTATGAACAATGACTAGATCAGTAGTGTTTAAAAAAAGATGATCCTTGAAGCATTTTTGGTTTCCTGTTTCACTAACTGCTCGGGATTTAATCTGGAGAGTTCACATCTCCCTTTCATTAAATGATTTCAGGATTAATTGTAGGGAAGGGTATAAAAGAGGATGAATCAACAATTTTTCACTCAGGAGCTCTTTGTGTTATTAATTTTGATTCCCCTTCTTGTATTGCTTCTTGTGTCACATCTCACTTTACACTGCCCTTAGTATAATTAAAAGTGTCCTCCATGTCAGATCTGGTTTTGTGGAAAGAACACTATTAATGTCATCATCAGAAAGGGAAAAAAAAAGCTTTCAGAGATAATGCCTTTTTTGGTCTGAAATAAACATAAATCAAAGGGAGTTTCAGGTTCCTTCTCCTAAAGCTGATGTCATGAAATCCCTTCAGACAGAACAGTGTAGTTAGTCTGATTCCATGTACATTAGCAGTAGAAAACATGTGAGTCTGAGAGGAATTTTGACAGAGGTGTACTAAGCTGTGATTTTAACAAATCTCACAAATTATGAAGGCATTTACTCTTTACCTTCCCAAAAGTTGCAGCACAGGCAGGTTCCAGCTTCTCTTTTCTGCAGAAGTCTAAATAATGTGCATAAAGGATGCATCTTGGTAAACAAACTCCTTCACAAACAATGTAGTTTTCTTCCAGCCTGTATAGAGAAAGAAACTGCCAGAGTAAGAAGCAACGTGCCAAGACTCCTGATTTTTTTTTTCCTTCTGGTTATTGGTACTGTCCTCTTATTTTTAATTTTACTGAAGAATTCCATGAGAGCACACAGATAAATTCCTCCTGAACAAGACAGACACTACAGACTGATCACACTTGGTGCTTAAGCTAGTTGCAGAATATGGAAAACCTGGGGCCAGGTCCTTTTTTGTAATGAGTCTTTTTCAATGTCTGGACTTTTTGGCTTTATACAAATAATTAAATGTTCATCACCTAAGAGCCAGCCTTGCTCTGAAAATAAGAGCACTAGCTAGACTACGAAAGACTTGAGTTTAAGTCTGTCCTTTCCACTGCATCTTTAACACCTGGGCTAATGTCTCTTTTCTTCCTACTTTTGCTTTTTAATTTCCATGCCGGACCTGGATCTGTTTCTTGACCAAACCACACTGAAAAGCAAAGATAGATCTGGCTTTTTCTGAAGGGGGTGCACTTCTGTGTAGCTTCCCAATCAGTTTACAGAATGCAAGTGCCTAGTGGTGGTCATTAAAGTAAAATTTAAGAAAAACGAAGTAAGAAACTGGCTGTCTTCACTTGAACTGAACTCTTGGTAACAGCTGGGTATTTCACTGTTGTCATGTTTCTTTTCTTTATCAGTTTACATTATTTGCTACTCCTGGGATGATGCGCAATAAATTTATTTCTCCAATTACAGAAATCTGTAAGGAAATACTGTCTAGTAAATGCTGCATACTGAATAATTTTGCACTGACTCACCAGACTCAAATCCTTACAATTTACGCTCAGAAGTCAAATGTAAACTAGACTATGAAACTGAGTAATCTGGATTACTCTAATTTTTCAGCTAGAAGGAAAAAAAAAAATCTAAATTTACCGTCTGTATTTGGTAACTAAACTCTCGTTTAATTTAACGTAACTCCTCCCTAATTTCAAGTGTGCTTTAATAGGAACATTTATCAATGAACGTCTGCAGAATTTGACCTCTTGGTTGGTTAATTTTTGCCCAGATAAATGAAGCAAAGTTAGGGCTTCCGCGGACGGTAGAATATAATGTAAAAAAACACATGCTAACACAGTCATAGCCCTAAAGGATGATTAAAGCATCCACTCGTTAACGTAATTCTTAAGTAATGCTTCATTTCTACACTTTTCCGGTACGTTTCATCGATAGCCACGTACTGTGAGAATCCGGCAGAGATTTCCGTCAACTGACAGAACTCTGCTAACTTTAAAAAAAAAAAAAAATCATAAAAGTTGGGGGCGGATGTCCTCACTGGAGGCTTACCCGCAGAAAACCCACCTAACCAAACATCCCACATCCATTCCTAAAAGCGCTGCGAGGCGTAACATCCCCCCCCCCCCCCCCCCCCCCCATCGCCTTGGCAGGACCGTCCCGCCGGGCCCGAGGGACACCCGGGCTGGGGCCCGGGGCGGCGGCGGGCAGCGGGGCCTCTCCGCCGGAGCCCTACCATTGCAGGGTGAGCTGAGTCTGCTTCTTCTTGTCCTTCATGCTCTGCGTGGCGCTCCTCCTGGCAGACGGGCTCCGGTCCGCGGCTTTTAGCGCGCCGTCCCGGGCGCCCGCATCCTCTTCTTCCGAGGAGAGCGCTTCGCTGTTAAAGCGTGTTTCTGAGCGCCGGGGCGGGGCGGGGAACAACAAGAAGAGAAGCCCACGGGCATCGTTACGGTCAGGCAGCGCGCCGCCCTCCTCCGTCCAACCGCATCCGTTCAACCGGCCCGAAGGGACGGGCCCGGCCGCCCCCGCCTCACCTCGGGTCGTGTCCCCCCCCCCCCCCCCCGCCGGTTCCCCGGCAGCAGCGACGGCTCGGACGCCGCCCGAACCTCACCTGCCCCGACCGCGGGCTGGAGAAGGGGCCCCCCCACCTCTTACCTGACTTGATGCCGGCGGGCAGCGCCGGCTCCGGGAGCCCTCTCTCGGCGCCCGCCGCGGCGCACAGCCCCTCCTCGGCGAAAGGCAGCAGACCTCGCCCCGCCAAGCCCGCGTAGCAATCCTCCGGCGCGGCGGCGGCGGCGGGCACCGCCGGCGCGGCCGGGAGGCGGAGGAAGGCGTCCTCTTGCTCGGATCCTTTGGCCATGGCTCCTCACCGCCGCCGGCTCCTCTGCCCCGCCGCGGGGCACCCGGCGCCCATGGGCGGCGGGAGGAGCGGGGGCGGGACGGGGCGGGTGCGGCGCCGGCCGTTTGTGCGGGGCTCCGGCACCTGGGCGGGAGCCGGTGTCAGCCAGGCGCCGCCGCCGGCAGCGCGAGGGGAGGGGAAGCCGCCTTGGAGGTCGCGTCTCCCCGTCCCTGCCCCTCCCGCCTCCCCGCCCGCCGCCGCCGCCGTGCTCAGGGCGGGCTGGTCGAGCCCGGCCGGGAGGCGACGGGGCACGGCTGGAGGGTCGGGGGAGGCGGCCCGGAGCGGAGCCGCTGGGGCCTGACTTAATCGTTAACTGCCGGCGGCGGAGGCTCTCGCCCCTGTCAGGGAGTAGCTCCCGGCCCGCCGCGGCGGAGGGAAGGGGGGCGGCCGCGGCGGCTCCCCCCCCCCCTCCCCAGCCCCTCCGGCTGAGGGCGAGGGGCGGCCGGCGGGCCCTCGGCCCCTGGCAGCAGCCGCCTGACAGCCGCCAGGCCCAGGGCGGGAGCCGGCCGTGGCTGCAGGCCGCGGAGCCCTCCGGGGCTACCGCCCGTGGCCGCCGGTGTTTCCTCGTGGAGTTTTGTGGGTGTCGGAAGAAAACGCCTTCATTTTGCACTGATAAATCACGTAGATCTGGCAGGCGTGTCTTTGATTTGCTCCACACCAGCCTGAGAGAGATGGACGGGGGGGGGGCAATCACAGAAAGATTGCCCCTGCTTTTTCCAAAGTTGTCAGTGGGATGGAAAATTAGCCTTATCACTGCAACAGCCACTGTTTTAATATGTCCTGTTAAAGCAAAATCTTGGGCATTTTGCTCCTCCCAGGTAAGGGCTGGGAGTCTGCAGTGTGGCTAGTGGTGGCAAGCATCCCTGAAATGCTGTATCAGATGAATGTTAGAGGCATTCTTCCAGCCGTCAAGTAGTGTTGGGCTGTCACAGACGCAAAGCTTGTGAAGAGCTGTTCTTCCTTCTACTCTCTTCCAGTCACCTGCTGCACCTCAAGTCATTGGTCCCACCAGCAGTACAAAGCAGAGGAATAGTACCCCTTCCACTCCTGCACAGATACATTGTCAGACGAACTATCAGCTATTGCATCTGTATTTAACAAAACCCCAGGTGTGACCGTAACCTGCCAAAAGGCCCCAAACCACATCATCAGTGTGAATGACAGACTTCAGAAATGAGGAAGACTTGTGAGAATCCCGGAGTCAAAAACGGTGTTTAGCCTAACTTTCTGCTGCTTCTACTTACACCTCTTCCCTTAACTGTGTAAAATAGATTTGCTTCCTTACTGGTTACTCTAATCAAACATTTCTTCACTGTTACAATGTCCCCTTCTTACTTTATTTGTGATGCTATACATGACTTTGTCCATATGCCTGTGTCCATACATGACTTTGTCGGTGCATCGGTTCTTAGCATCACTCACTGAGACAGTTCAGCTTCTGGTTTCAATGGCTTTGTTCGGAGGTTACAGTAAAACTACATTTGACTCTCTGACTTCTCTGTGACTTTTGGCTGAGCCAAGTACTTCAGAATCTGGCCCACAAGGATCACTTTTTCTATAGTGTAACAAAACCTCCCAGCTCCTAATGGTTGCGTTGAATCTTTTGTGAGCAAAATCCAATGTGCCATTGACTTTCTGGTATAATATGGAGCTAAACATGGTTATTTGTTGTGTAAGAGCAGGATTCTCCTTTGCTATGATGTCAGAACATCCTCAGTGATGCTGATGAATTCTAGCCATCATCAACACAGGGATTAACTGAGTGATTAACTTCACCTAAAACTGGTGATGATTTTAAGAGCTTTTTCAGTAAACAGTAGTTTTCCTTGGACCTAGTAATGTTCTCTGGCTCATATAAACTGTCCCCTACTTGTTCTTTCAAAGCCAGTGAAATATTGTTGTGAGGTGTTACCAGCTTTGTATAAAACTAAGCTTATGTCTGCAGTAGTAGAGAAAGAAACGTGGACAGTCCAGTGCTCCTAGGTAAACACACGAATGTTCAAACATGCACGAGAACAGGTACATCATCCAGTGCCAACATGTGAGCAAACATATCTACTCTAATAGAAATAAGGGATTTTTTTAATAATTAACACACTATAAATTAAATATAAAATATTTTCCTCTGACAGGAGACAGACAGTGCTCTTTAATAAACTCAAACTCTTTTAAAAAAAGGTTCTGTATGAAAACACTGGCAGATAAAGTAATTTACGGGACAGAAAGTTTAATCCTGGCAAGCAAAGGGAAACTGTGGTGTTTAAACTGTTCATTTGTGCATCAATTAAAACAGCCAAATCCTTTTGCTTTCTAGAAAATATTTCTCTATAGTTGGAGGTTGGTGGTGTGTCTATTTACAGGGTCACCAGGGCTGCTGCTCAGCCAAGCCAGCCTCTGACTCTCATCATTACGGGCCTGTCCCTCCTACTGACACTAGTGCTGGAGGTGTGCTTGGCAATGTGGACATACACTCTTCAAGTTCAGTATCTTCTCCTCTGCCACTTAGTCCTGCTGATGTTCTTGAAATTTTCTGCTTATTCTCTCATTCAGTCTCATTTTCCATCATGGACTATAGCTCTGAAAGACTTAATGGACAGATAGAGATCATCTTGTCCATCCCATCCGTTCCAGTGACAACAAGGCAGGATTACAGACAGGTATTATTATACCTATATGGTTCCCAAAACTGCTTCTTGCTTGTTTTTGAAGATCTCTGATGATAGAGGGACACATCATACTCAGATCATCTGTCAATGAAAAATGCTCATTAGTGTCAAACAATCTCCCTTCAGCGTGCATCCACCGCTTCTTTTTTCTGTCTGTCTAAGAACACGATCACCCTTGTTCTATTTTCATCACTTCTTCAGTATTTGAGGACTGTTATCATGTCTCTTCTCTGATTCTCTGTCATTTTATTACTAAAACCAAACCAGTACAATTAAATCAGCTGTACCGGTTTCTTGCATCTCCTTGTGTCTTCCAGTATTGCTCCTGCCTCCCAACTCTTTTCAACTTATTTTTAATCCTTATTTTTTGCCTTTTTGTATCACCATGGGAGATTTCTTTTCCATTCCTCAGAGTATACCTACTCGGCAGTCACCATGCCATGTTTTGCTGCCAGGGAGTTCTCAGGATAGTTGTAATTGTCACATCTCTGGTACCTGCATGGTACTTCTGTGGTATTTTACTGGCACCGCAGAACTCCCAACATGGACTGCCCAACCCAGCCAAAAAGCCCAAGGAGTTATCCACAGCTTTGCAGTCTCAAGCAATTTTCTTTGCTACTTCACAATTTTCTCTATAACTTCCTTAAAAATCGCGATACCTTCACATTATTGGAACTAAAATGGTTGCCCTAGCTTTGGCTTTCATCTTCCATCTTACCTAGTTCACCCCTCATCACCTTCTTTCAGACTGTTCCTGCTTCCACCCAGTGACTACCATTCTCTTTGTACCATGTTACTTCCATTTTCAAGTCCATTTACCAGCCTGTTGAGCCAGACTTCAACTCTGCCTTCAGAGACACCTTTGCTCTTATTTTTGGTTTTTTTTTTTTTTTTGTCTGACTTCCATAGAGCCTTTGCCTCACTAATGTGTTCTGGAGTACTTATTCCAGTAGAAGCAAATCATCGCCCATCTGTCTTCTGTTTACTGGACCTTAAATGTGAGAAGTTGTCACACCTGCCTATTGAACATGTTGATTTGAGGCAACTGGAAAGGTCTCTTACAAAATACCTAGCACACCGTGCACTACTCTTTTTACCTTGAGGAGTTAATTCCTAGTTTTCTGTTGTTTGATGTAATCTCAGAAGCATTCCTCCTGATGAAAAGGTCATATTTCATATAAACAAAACATACTGCTTTCATTATCGCTTGGCATTCTTACCCTTGTACTCCACTCCAAGGCTAGTATCATGGCTAGAAAAGTGCTCTGAGTCTTTCTTAGCAAACATCTCTACAAACCCAAAATTTTCAAAATGGATTTCATGCTAGATGCACAGTTGGGCTGGCTGGAGCCATAAGTACCGTGGACATTTCAGCACAGCTCGTGCCTAGGAATTTGTATGATCATTGCGGTGTGCCTGTAGAAAATTGGGATCCTGTCAATATTGCTCATTACTGAGCGGATTCTAAATTATGAAGTAGAACAGTTAAAGCATGTATCCACAGATAACTATTTCTTTATTATTTTCTTATTCAAAAATTGCAGTTGTATATAGATGTATATATATGTATGTGTGTCTGTATACATATATGTAATTGCAATCATTGCCCAGAGAGGTGGCAGATGCCTCCTCCCTGGAAATATCCAAGGCCAGGTTGGACGGGGCTCTGAGCAACCTGGTGTCGTTGAAGATGTCCCTGCTCATGGCAGAGGGGTTGGACTAGATGATTTCTAAAGGTCCCTTCCAACCCAAACAATTCTATGATTCTGTGATTTGTCCCTGAAGCACGGGATACCTCTTGCCTAATTTTGTCTCAGAGTTAGGTTTTCTGACTCTAATCTGGTCACCTCAGCCTCCCTTCATAGTCAGTGGAGAAAAAAAGGTGTCTCCCAGGGTTAATACGTACCAGGTGCATTACCCACTGAAACAAATCATCCTCTCAAATCCATTTATCTTCCTTGTCAGTTCTGAGAGCCTAGGAAGTCTTGCATAGTTTTAAATGAATTTTGTAATGGTATAATCCCACCAAAATTCAACAGATTCTGTTATACAGACTGGACTAAATGCTCAGATACATGTGCTCTGTAGCACAATAGAATTATTTTTCAGTAATTTACATGTGAAATATCTTTTATATCGGCACGCGGGTATTGCACCATTTCACCTTGCTGCAGCGTTCCTTTTTTTTTGTTGCCAACACAACATGTTGAAACAAAATGTTTTTAACTTTATTTGTATCAGTGTGACTTTCCAGTACCAACAATCTACTTGAGGGACTCTGTATGTTGAACTGAA